TATATATAATATAATATAATAATATAACTATAAAATATTAAATATATTATAAAATATAATTATAAAAAGAGATGCACTCCACTAAAAAAAGTTGGTGTCAAAAAATGTTTTTGGTCAGAAATTGCTAGCAAATTTCAAAATTCATTACAAGAAAGATCAAGTAACACACTCATTTAAAGGTCAAATTTAGAAGTAGGAAAACGGAAGTAGTATTTTCTTGTAAATCATAGTCCAATATCTGTTTTATTTGCAACCTCATAAAATCATTTTTTATACTGTAGTAAACAGTATGAAAATCTATTTCACAATTAGAAGGGAATTTAATTTACATTAAGCACATTAAATTAAACAAAAAAATTTCTCCGATAATATTTGTATTATTTACAACTAAGATAATGATCAGTCCCTTAAAACGAATGACTTTTTCAAATATATTTTACAGGAGAGTATAAGAACAGAGATCTAATTTGAACATGCTCAGATTTAAAGAAACTTGGCATTTCAACATTTATGTGGACGTCCTAATCACTGACTTGAGCGGGATGCTTGTATTCAACATGTATGATTAAAAGTTACGTCATTTATGGAATGGAGAGAGGTTTCTGTGAGATTAACTAGACGATAAGCACACCTATAAATGAAGAGGAAGGCCCCTCGAGCATTATCATTAGGAGCTGATTTGATTTATCAACATCACACCAAATGTGTTCCCCTTGTCGGAGTGATGAATAGTGTCTAATCACAAATGGACACCCTGCTGTAAGTAGCCATCATTAACTCTGGCAGTTTTTTACAAGCAACTGCTCTTTCTGCTCCTGCTGCATATCAGATCCTCCCATCCAAAGCAAATAGAGAGGTGACTTGATGAGTCTTCCATTAGTCAACTTGGCCTTAGGTGCTTTAGAAGAATATGTAGCTAATAGTCTCAAAAATACCTCAGATATTCACACAAACTCTAATGTGTGAGCTTTGAGGAACTGGAGGTACTTGGAAAGAAAAGTAGCCTTATAAGAATTTTAGTCTGACACAGTTTAATCAAAGCAGAAGTCTTATGCTAAGCAGCTCATACTGTCGCACCTTTTGCATTATTATTCTGCCGATTCAGCAGAGGGATGGTATTCTGTTGCAACACTCCTCTCTGTGAGAAATCCAACAGGGAGAGGTGAGATAAACACACACTTGAGTAACAATGGAAATCACAGCTACAGAAATTAATCTGCTCATCCATTATATTAAGTGGTGGTTAATGTATGAATGGATTTTTGTTGATGTTGTCTGGAATGTTGTTAGGTTTGTTTTGTAGTTTTAAAAACACGTTTTTCTTGTTTGTTTTTTTTTAGCTTCCTTTGTAAATACTTTTTTTACTTTAATATTTCGGTACAGAATTGAATTTCACACAGGCAGCATATTCTGCTGTTATCGTCATCTCCCATTTATTTTGTGTTACGTCAGAGTCATTTCTACAATGCAGTTAATTTCCATGCCCCCATCATATATTTTGTAATATACTGCATGAAATATTTTGGAGTGTTAATTTGTTCATAAATATTTCAGATGAACAGATTTCAGTTTCTTCATATTTTACAGATATTTCAAAATAATGTATCAAAATGTTCCCATGTTGTGTCCTTTCTATATCACTTTCTTTCCTATTACTCTTTTATAATCTCTTTTACAGTTTTTTATTAACATTATCCTCTCGAAAGTGACAATTTATGATAGGAAAATAACAACGCAAAGATTAATAGATAGCAATGGACTTTATGAAATCCGTTTTTTTTTTTTGTGGCTTTAGTTAACTTTAGTTAAACGTTCCACCTTTATAAAATGACAGAAATTGGTATGAAAATTTAACAAAAAAAATATATAAAAAAAACCCCACACACAAAAAGCACCATGTTTATTTTCCTGTCATCTTGTTAATCATCAAGATAATTCGATCAGAGCACACTTCTGGAAATCTGGTATATTTTATAGATTTGTATTTACTGTAATAGGTTTTGAATAGAGTGTATATACAACATATCATTATTGTCCACTAGGGGGCGGTCAGCCTCTTAACTCACCATTTTAAAACTAATCTATTATATTTATTTTTTTATTTTTTTTTGGCATAAAATGGTATTGCTTTCATTTTTCAAACAAATAGATGTGTTTCTGCACACTCCAGTTATGTTTATTACCTTTATTATATTTCCTGCACTGATGTCCAACAATGCCTTAAATTACTGATACAAAGTGCTTAGGTGACTACACTAATACACAACTGCATTTTAAAATATGGAAAATATAAGGGTCTATGGCCAGAAATGTACTGAATCAGCTGAAACATGTTTGACCATAAAATTAACAGTAGCCTACTAAATGAAAGCAGTATAGGCCTACACTAAAAATTGATACAAATTGGTATTACCTTAAACTATAATTCTGAAGCAAAAAGACTAAAATAGTATTTTCTTGAAAAACATGCTCTAATTGTCTTTGTTTTATTTACAACTTTACAATGAAATAATATTTCTATTCAATCAAAGATTGTTTGATGAAAGTATAAAGTGAATAAGGTGTTCACAATAAGACCAGAAACATATAGCAAAAAAGTAAATCAGTCTGTTTAGATTTTTTAATAACATTTTGTTGATGTGCAATACATAAAGACATTCAAACTTGTAGAACTGCTACTAGCCTTTTGCTACTTTTTGAGGAATTCCTATTTAATGTCCAAGTGTCAGATGCTATTAGCTATCCATCATACACCATCTGTTCAAATGTCAAATAAATCACAAAGTGAACCAACTTAAAACCAAATAAATAAACAAACTCAACTTAATTTGATTTTCGCACATTAGCATAAAGCTATAAACTGAATGAAATGGTTTGGCAATTCATTGGGTGGGGTAATAAATACTAGAGAAAATCACTCATGCTGCCTTTATGGCACAGTAAATTATCCAAAGCCTTCTGCAATGTCCTCCTGGCTCAGCGCAGTGCGCAATAACCCACAAAACCTTCTGCAATATTTATCAGCACACACACTGACGATGTGGCCAAGTAAAGTGCAGAATAGCAGAACACAAAAGAACAATGTCATTCATTGTGTGATTTAGGTTAAATGCTCATTGAATGTTGGTAATTCAAATGTGAGTTTGAGCAGGAAACTAAAATTACCTAGGGACTAAGTATTACAATACATCAATAAACTAATTTAAGCTATTCATCAAGCCCTAATATGAATTATTTCAGCTTAATGTTCAAATTGTTTTGAGTCACCTGTTGAATTCCTTGTAGAGCACAGTCAAAGAGGCACACAAAAATATGCAGCATTGATGTTGTCTTATGAATAATATTCTGGCTCTAATGACATTCTTTAATATGGGAAATGCTTTTACTATTAGATAATCAATTATTATAAATATTAATCATTTAAAAAAAGTGTTAGTTTGAATGGAGCTGACCTTCAATTAGTTTTACACAGGTTTCCCAAACAGATAGTCTCATGCCATTTTGTTGAGTCCATGTTGCTGTGTTGGGCTGTTTTGTCAGGGACGCAATATGCTTGCTTATAGCTTATAGCTTATAGCTTATAGCTGTCTGTGTATATTAAGCTGAGACAGGAAGTATTTTACTATAAAAAAAAATTGCACACTTCAGCTTAAAATTATTTTTCATTAAATATTTTCATTATCGGTTTTGATAAGATTATCAAGCTTGACGTATACCTATTCTTTTGAGAAATATGAAATAAGATACTGTTATATGAAAAAAACAAAAACAAAGTCTGGATGTGTGCCACTGGGGTTTCACTGTACATGCAGACAATTCAATAATTCAATCCTCATATACACTGGCACATACACTAACCAAACATGGTTACATACTATGATGATCACTGTATTTTTCATGCTCTTTACAAAATGAATTGTTTTATTAAATTAGATATTATATATAAAACACATGCAAATTGTAATGATTATGTGGTTGCATATATCAGAAATCCATTTTTGTCTTGTAACAGGCATTTAGCAAAAAGGAAAATTCTTTTGTGAAATGATAGTTCGGAACAGTTTTCCAAACCGCCAAAACTCAGTATCCATCTATATAACAATGTCACCTACTTGCAGTACTTTCACTCCTGATACTGAACCTAATTTACAACCGTCCATCCAAGTTCTTATTGAACACCCCCCACAGACTCTTAATATCTTTCAGTATCTATATCAGACTCTTAATATCTATAAAGGCAGCTAGACGGGGAAACAGTTATATGGTATATTTCTGATATAGGAAAATATTTTAAAGTAACATTTAAATAACCAATTTTCAGTTTCATTTATTTCATAAATACATGATTCGGCTTTAAATGCACAGTGCACCATCTTAACCCAGGCATATTTCACAAATGAATCTCCATTGTGAGTGGAAGAGTCAATTAAATGTTAAATCAAATGATCTTCCAGATAAATGACCTGTGACATTCATGTCATTATCTCTTCTGTGTATTGCCCTCACTGAACAGCCACATTTTTGTAGCTCATCTAGATGAGAGCATGGAAATACTTTTCCAAGAATGAGGGAATAGTAAGTATCCACTTAATCTCA